TTTTTTTTTTTTTTTTTTTTTTCCTGTAACCCTTCAAAACACAATGATGCTTACAAAAGGAATTAGATGTGTCCAGTGTTTTTATCCCACTGTGTTTTATAAGGAAGCTGATTTTGCTTGCATGACTTGACCCCTACCCCCATCTTTATCTGACTGATTCTCAGGTCAACTGTGCCCCCTGGAGCACTCAGTGGTGTATCTTCTGTATCTTACTGGTGTGGCTCATTTCTCTTAAAATCCTTAGTCTTTTTCAAAACAGAAAAATGCTCAGTTTCTGCTCCTGTTTTACCAGGTGTGAAGGGGCTGCCAGTCCTGAGGGCCCCAAAACCATAGTGGAGGGGATAATAGAGGAGGAGGAGGAGGAAGACGAGGAAGGAGGAGGATCCGTTAATAAACGGAAGAAGGAAGATGACACAGAGGTGGGCATTTCTCTCTCTATACTTGAAGAGACAAACAAAGATGTGAATTCTGTATCTCAAGGATATATGGAGACTATAGGGAGCAAGAAGACAACCATGGGGGTCAGCCAAGAGTTTGCCCTCCAGGGGGACATACAGAAGTTATCCCCAAAAGAGTAACTAGCCTTACTGTAAATGGAAGCAACTGCAGTGACAACTTGGCTTGTACCAGGGCTTTTACTTTGTCTTGCTCTTGTGCAGCTGGTTACATCTTGAGTTAGTCCTTGATGTTATTTCCAGATATTCATGGGCTTGGTTCAGAAGAGGACTTCTCTCCTGAAGGAGGAAGGTTCATAACAACCTGTTTTAAAGAGTTGCTCATGCTTTGTCTCCACTGTATTTCTGTGTCTTATAAAGGTCTCACTGTTCCTCACAGGGGAATATGGACCATGATCTAATCATTCTAGTCCCTCGGGTGAAACCATTTTACAGCATATTACAGCTTTGTACCAGGTGCCCGTATCTCACCCAGGCTTTGTTGAGGGACAGGTCCCAGAGCTCTGCGCATGTATCTTATTTCTGGTATAAAACAGCCTTGGAAGCTCCAGGCTTCCCTTGCTTTCTGTGTTAGAGGCAACATGCACGGACTTCTTGCTCGTTTCCCCTGTTAACATGGTGCAGCTGTATTGTGGAGGAAGCATGCTTAGGAATGAGAGAGGCCAGTTGGTGATGCTGTCCCATTAGCCTCACCTGTGGTGGACAAACCAATGTTAGCTGTCAGGATTTGTCTCAGTGCTCACTTTTTTTTTCCCTAGAGGGCACTCGCCTACATTTATTCTGCACAGGTTGCTGTCAATGGAATGCTAACACTGAGCTCTTTGCGTTTCCCCTGCAGACAAAGAAGGAGCACCCATACACATGGCGAATCGAACTGTCGAAAACAGAAAAGTACTGGGATGGGTGGTTTAGGGGATTATCTAACCTCTTCCTTGGTTGTCCTACTCCAAAGCTGTTGCTTTTAGCAGGTAGGTGCCTCCCTTTTTCTCGTGAGTGAGAGCTGCTTTGTTTGAAATGTGGTTTAAAACAGAGCTGTCCTGCTGGCATGCAGCCTGTGAGGTGTTAACTTGCAGCCTCTGGTCTCCTGGTAGGGGGTGGAGGGGCCATTGGGTCCCCAGCCCCTCTGGAAGTGTGGACAGCCCTGGTTTGAAGTAATCATTCCCTGTGGCTGCAGTCAGCAGTTTAGAGGAGAGAAGGGTGAACCTGTAGGTAAAACTCTGGCCTGGGGTAGTTGGCCTAGCTTCTATTCTGTCCTCTCTACATTCCTGAAGAGACCTTGGAAAAGTCCATTGAGACCTTTTGTTTCCCTTTTTACAATGTACCTGGGAGACTTATTTATACCAGATGCTCTGGCCTCGAGGAAGGTGGTTTGGTTGCAAGTTTAAGGTAACGTTTCAGAACAGGACTGAAGCACAGCTTGTTCCCCAGGGCCCAGTACTAATATCTTTTTTTACTGTAGATCAGGGTAGGATTCGAACTTGTGACCCAAAAGTGAAAGAGTCCACGCCCAGGGGCCTGGGATAGGGAAGACTGAGTCCAACCATGTTAAGTGCCCTTTTTAGAGGTGCGGCTGGAAGGGTGAATGAATGGTTCCTCAGTCTCCAGCATGGATCCTCTCCTGTCCCTTTACTATCCTGCTAAGCAGTAAAGTGTTCCAGTGGGTGCCAGCATGCTGTTTCCATCCCATTTTTACACCAAACACCCTTTGCAAAACCTTAGAGCCTGACTAGACACGCTTTCCCTGGCTTCTGCCCAAAGCATTTGTTTGTTTTATTCCAGGCGTTGACAGGCTGGATAAAGACCTAACGATTGGACAGATGCAAGGTAAATACTGAGCGGTGCTGTAATGCTCTTTTGGATGATTGCTTGTTGCTGTGGCTGAAAACATTAGGGAGGGTGTCTGGAACGATCCTGAACAGGAGCAGTCTGTATTGAGACAAATGAGTATTAACAAACTTAATTAACCCCCAGAGTACCAGTGCAGTCCCTAGCGATTGCATACTAATGGGAGACAAAGAGGCTGAGATCTCTCTGGTGCTCTGGCAGGGCCGTCTCTCTTTAGCTCAGCTTTTAAATGTTTCAAATGATGAGGTTTCATCCCCAGTCTTAGATCACAAAATGAGTGCTACATCCTGCCATTAGGAAGCTTTTGTTGATTCTTCTGTGTCATCCCATTGCTCCTGCTTGGTACCAGATGAAAGTAATCCCCTCCTTTTCTGGTGCTGACTAAACGTCAACTAGTGGTTGGCTGTCAGCTCAAGTCCCCAATCACTGGCTTCTTTGGAACTCTGGTACTGGAAGATCACGGCATGGTAGGTCTGACAGTCGCCTTCCTCTTAGGAAGATGGAACCACCTTCAATACAAAGTGCTCAGAAATAATTAGTTACCTTCCTGCTCCCTGGAGAGTGTTTTAGTTTGATCATGCAGGAACTATGAATGAAGAAGCCAGTTCTTGCCCCATAGTGAAACTGCCCTCTCTGTACATCTTGCTGTTCAACATCTGATGTCAAATGCAACTTCCTGGTCCCCAGCAGCTAGATGCACACAGCAAGGCTTAGTTATAAAGTATTTAACTATATAGATGGAACATTCATAGAAGCATCAAGTGTTTTCAATCCCAGCATGGGATGTATATGGGCTTCTGTATTCCCATGTAGCATCTACCCAAGTTGCTGCCAGTGTGGAATGAGTCCAGTTAAAAGCAATTCCCCTGACTTTCTTTGTTCTGTAGGAAAGTTTCAGATGCAAGTTCTCCCCCAGTGCGGCCATGCAGTCCATGAGGATGCTCCGGACAAGGTGAGCTCCAAAGCCCTGCAAGCCATCTGGGCTCTGGCACTTTCTAGTTCGGTGCAAAAGGGGCCTGTCACTATTATGCAGCTGACATCCTGTTACTTTGGTCACTGCTCCTCAGCATCTAGGCACCCTCCGCAACTCTGAATTCAGCAGTGCCATGGTTGAGAATTACTGCACTGCAATCTAAATTCAGAAAATTTATGGGAGCAACCTTGAGGCTAAAAATGTTAAGAACTACTGATCTGGCTGATGTCAGGTGAAGGTGGTGGGGCAGTACCTCACTTCACTTTGCCCCACTCTCTCCTCCCTCTGCCTTCCCCTGGTCTGAGCCTGAGGGCACAAAGGTGGCACCTGCTACTGAAGCTGCTCCTCTGGATATTGTCAGCTGGTGTGTGGAGCCATCTACCTCTGTGTCCCTTTCCTCTAGCCCCAGGACCATGGGATGAGCCAGGCTGAAAGACATGGCCCTGTGTCTGCCCACCCACAGCTGAACATAAAGTTAGGTGTCCTAGGAGGGTGGGTCCGCAGAGGAGTAGCCACAGGTGCCGCTGGTCTGCAGGAGGCTGGGGCAGGTGCACAGCACTGGATACAGGGAGGAGGGGGCTTACCTCACATATGGGCCAGACACTGTGGCACCCTTACAAGGATCTTGAGAAACACCAGTTGAGAATCACTTGCATAGATTTTCAAGGCTACACCATAACTGCCAGGGAGCCTGCTTATTCACATGGCACTTTAGCTGCTTTTCAGGGATGAGATGATCAAAGACACTTTTCCTTAGAGACCCAGGTCCCACCTACACTACAGCTGTAGCTGTGTCAAGGCCAAAGGGTGGTGGGACTGACTACGTAGACAGTAGCGAGGGTGTGATGTGATCATAGGCTTTTCCCCTCCCTTGGCTCTTTTATCTTCCCCCGCCCCAGCCCTCACCGCCTCCAGTGCAGTCTTCTGCTTTTAGCATTGGTTGTCAGGTGATCAAAGCTGGGTGGTTTGTGTTTTTGAGAAGCTGATATAAATAGTATCAACAGTTGTGGGCTTTTTTTTTTTTATATTGCCAAAGCTCAGTGGCTTTTCGGTATCCTGCCTACATGGTGCTGTGGGATAGTGGACAGAGCACACAGTTCCAAGCTCACCTCTACCACTGCCTTCCCACGTGGCCTTGATTCATTTAACTTTTGTGTGCCCCAGTCTGCCCCGTTTCCACTCACAATGAGATGTTTGGAAGAAGCATCATTATTAAAGTGCAAACTAAAGGCCATGTGTTATTACTACTATCAATCTGATGCCCTCAGTTGCTGCTTAAAGGCATGCTGATTTAACTAACAATTCTGCCTGACTGTACCTGCCAGAGAGAGAAATCATGCCATGGGATTACTGACAGCAAAGGAGATGGTGAAAACTGTTCTGTTTTCCATTGTATTTGACCGCATGGAGCTGTATAGTCAGTGCCTCCGTCTTCGTGGTCTAATACAGTAATTTCCCTTCTTTTCTGTGTGGCAGTTCTGTACAGAAATGTTGGAAAATCTGTTTACAGAAAAAAGCCTGATTTGGCAGGTGATTTGTGTTTGGAACTGCCAGAGCTTCAAGTTGACTGAATTGCGACCTCTTTCCCCCACCTTCAGGTTGCTGAAGCTGTTGCAACTTTCTTGATCCGGCACAGGTTTACAGAACCAATCGGTGGATTCCAGTGGTAAGGATCTGTGGGGGTTAGGGCTGTGCAGTCTTCTTCCTTTTCCCTACTGGAAGTCTTGCTTTTTCTGTGTACATTTTGGCACAGCAGAGGACTGAGATCGGGGTAATAAAGAAACAGTCAGAAAATTATTAAAACCTGAGTATATTCAAAAGAAAAGAAAAGAAAAAGAAAGAAAGAAAAGAAATTGTATAGTATGGCTTGTATTTTCTTTTCTTCTGTT